GTTACTGCCAAATGGAATCATTTTTCACTTATCTTCGCTGATGGACTGAAGTCTGATGTTGTGCCCAACGGTCTCTTATTCCCAGATATAAATGTTGCAGTTTTTTGTTATTATATCGCTGAAGCCGGATTTTATTCTCAACTCAATATCTTGCGATCCTAGAAGGTATTCGCTTAGCGGGTGCAGAAAGAAATTCCTTATAATATGAGACAGTAAATTTTTCTTATCTGCTTTGCGATCGTTTCCCTCAGGTAAAACTCATCCGGATGGTATCTGCTGATGCGTTTTTTTTCCATTTTCTTTGGGTGTCTTGTCACATGAGTACTCGTAGAAATACTATTGCCGATAATATCGCATCTTTCAGACCCTCATATATTAATGATCGTGCCCTGCTTTCTGCTGACTTAAGGACAATCGGCCAGCAATATTCGATTCATGATCGCCACTCATACTCTTACTTCCGTAAATAAATATAATATCATACCTGTTATAAGCTCAGACGTGACATAAATTATGTTATTAACAGACATATGTTAAAAGCACTGCAGATGCAATGATCGCCGGTACAAAACTAACATAGTGAGCATCTTCTCATGCGAATGTGGACCAATCTGTCATCACATTTGTTCGGCATTGCAAGTTTCGCAAATTGTCGACAGGGCTGCAGTTGTATTGTGTGATATTTTGTATTCACGCAATTTATCGGATTACAACGCAATCTTTGCTTTTTTTAAAGCTTAGCATCAGAATATATGAATAGTCAGATTCGAACTAGAAATTTAATTCTTCACACTTTCTTTTACTTACGCAATATTTCTGTTTTTTCCTAAGCCACTTACACGTGTACTCCGTTACATCTCACACTACGACATAATAATAATAAACAAAACCGCAGAACATGTTAAAATGTCCTGAAAATAAAACGAAGACTTGAGAAAGATCACTTCTCGCAGCGGACGTGATAACATGCAAAATACGCCTACAATCAAGCAGACCGCCAACTTTACTAAGGTTACACACAATTTGGTGTTCAAGATTGACTTGCAGAAGTAGGCGAAGAAGAAGAAATTATGTAAGTTGACAACAGTTTAAATATCACTTTAATATGTTTTGATACTTTTAAGATGACAATCGAATTGAGTTGAGTAGCTGATGGCATTGTGAGAGCCTGCATAAAAAGTTGGATGCAAATCATAGCATGACTCACTTAAATGGATTAAATTTCACTTTTTTCCAAAATAAAAAGGAAAGTTTTTAAAGAAAAGAAACAACTTTTGATATTGATTCCGAACAAGTCGAACAGAAGAAAAAAGGTGAAATGAAGCAAAATAAAAAAAAAAAAAAGTTTGAATTTCAGATATTAGAGCAAAAGTAAATTTCAATTAAATAAAATTAAATAATAATTTTTAATGAAATTGCAATATTGCTGCGCAAGGAAGTCATAAATACTTATTTAAGCAAACTCGTGTATGTATTGAACTGAGATGTGTTATTAAAACAGTGTTTTATTGTACATGTTTACACCGAACACATGTGTGCATACGTGTTGAGCTTTCCTAAGTGAAGCGCTCTTTTCCATGACAGCATATCACCTGCGGCACGAGCGCATGTTGGATTTGTAAGTATATATGTAATGCCCGGAAAAAGTTTAAACAAGCGCACTTGTTATTGTGCTAATCAAATTTCAAGGATGTCTGTCCTCTCCGCCTGTCAAATATTTACATATGCATTTTCATATTCAACTTGCAGGTCCCAGTTTTCAACATGATTTTACATTTTCTCCGACATCTTTTCAGGTTAAGTTCGTACGATTGAATTTGTGATCCTTAGATCAACGTATTTGGATATCTTCCACGAATATTTTGCTTAAGCACCCCCAACCGAGCAAATAAGTACTACCTAACCTTTCGGTTTAATCCCTTTTCGCTAGCTGCATGCAACAGCTTTAATTTATGGGGTTGGCAGGTAAGGCATCACTCCACTTTACTTTAAGAATTTTTTTCTTAGCAAATTTGTCAGTTATTAAATGCGTGATTTTCGTAATAATAGTTTCATGAAATTTGCTTTATGAACATGCTTTCGCAATGGCAGTTAGACCGCTTTTTAAGCCCCATGATATATGATAAAAGTCGTTAATTGTATGAAAAAATTTGTAAAAATTTCAATATTTTGAAAATGATCATTTTGATATAAGCAAATTTTGAATGAATGAAGTAATAAGGCTATTGTCTGAAGCCCTTCCAGCCCAACCACTCGTATAAAATAAAGATCTCTGTATGGCAACTATGCGTAGCTTTTACTATTTTAGAATGGCACCGGGATTCCGAAAAGCGATTTGCTATACAAACAACGAACGGCGATAAGAGTATCTAGAATTGATTTGCTTTTAGGCACCTATCTGATAATAAAAATTTTTCATGAAAAATAAAGTTTTAATCGTCACAACAATACGTTTTCATTTTCTGTATTTTATAACAAATTACTTGTGCAACGTGTGTATTGGTCGACTTTGTCGTACTCCAATCTTTTAATATGTTTTGTTCTTCAAATTTATGGAAAATGTAAAAGTGAATGTACCTATTGGCCCATTTCCTGTTGGTGTTTATTAGAAAATCTATAAATTTTAAGCGTAAAAATTTAAAAATTTTAGGTTTTTACGGTCATCAGAAACGGGTCATAGTTTACTACTAATGTTATTCTGTTTGTAATACTCAAAATTATTAGATTCTTTTAAAATACGAAACTTTTGTAGTAGTCATGCTTCATCTTAATTTCATTTCTTTTATTGTAATGTAAAGCTTAGGTTCAATTAACGTAGCCTAGTTTAAATGGTAACCTATTTTTTCTTATTCTCTTTAGTTTATTAATCACTTCAAGGCAAAGCTTGATCTAGTCTAATGTAAGTCTAGTTTGTAGCCTCATTCCGTTGTGATTTTAACTTTAACCTAGTATTAGGTAACTTTGCCAACTTTTAATTAACCTTAATACATATTCCAATAAAATAGCCTAAGCTCATTTAATCTATATAATAAGCAATTCTGGTAATTGTTGAGGAATAATTAGAAATTAACCATAAGCACCAACAAACAATTAATTACGCTGTTAATAATAATAATGTTTCCAAACTAATAATTGAGAGTGAACTTGATAAACATTATCGTGTTTACCTAGATTTTCTTTGTTATGTGCCGCGCGCTAATTTCGGACAGGTTTAATCTTCTATTGGAAATTCTAAAGCTTTAATCATGAATAATAAAAATAATCATGAATAATAAAAATTCAAAAGCAGTGACAGCTGATTATCAAATTGTCATTGATGTGTACACTTCGCATCTATACTAAAATCTATATTCATCCCTAGTTGCACAAATTTCATGGATATGTGATTTTGTTTTTTATTCAACAGATTTAAGTTTAAGTGTCATTTACGTAAACAATTGCCATAGCATGTATATGATTTTATTTTGTACTAGATATACGCACACACACACACACACACACACAGCCACAATCCGTTAATACGTCTTATAAATCCAATCAATCTTAAGTATTCCTCAAATCTAAAGTACCATCTAACACTATCCCAAGATTCGGTTGTAATATCACTTTTGCCATGTTGCGAATACTGTGTCCTTCGTATACAGTACATTTTTTCCATTGCTATTGTAAAAAAGTTATTAAATTATAATCTCTATGAGAATGAGTAGAAATCATTTCTAAGCGGGCACTTCCTGTCATAGCTTACTCTTTGTGAAAACTCAATGAATTGATTTTTTTTTTCTTTTATAAAATTTCATTACGATTGTATGCGTTTGCCAGCATACAAGCAGATAAGCTATTTAAAAAAATTTTTTTTTTTTTTTTTTTTTTTTTCTAAATTCTATAGAGAATTCTTATTATGTTGTTGATATTGTCTGATAACCATTGATACGCCAGCACACATACCACAGGTGAGCTTATATAACACATAAGCACTAAAGCAAACGAATACAATTATAATCTTTTTTATAATTGAAATGGTTTTGTTTAAATTGCATTATTTGAATAGAATTATCTGTTTAAATGTAACGCTTATGTATTGAAATTTCTTTTCAATGCAAGGATATACGTAAATATAAAGACCAAATCTACACTTGAATAAATGTATACTTTTCTTACTTAATACCTAGGATTAAGAATGTTTATGAAATGTCAACATTTCAATTAAAGTAAAGAAATAATGAAACAATTACTTTTAGAGCGAATTTTGGATACCCGCCAACGCATTAGAATGGAGCGGGAAAATCCTTGATTAACCCTCGGCGGGTCAAGTGAGAACGATCGGCAGCATATTTTCATTTTTTCCTTTTTTCCGGAATAAAGTCAAACTTTGTCATGTATAGCATAAGTAGAATGGTTTGAAATGCTACTTAGATCCCGAAAAGAGTTCTTAGAATATCTTTATTACAACAACAAAACAAAAAGTTTTTATACCCCACACCACTTTTGGTATAAGGTTGTATTAGGTTTGCGCGGCATGAGATAGGTTCAGAATCACTTTCTAAATCGATCTAGGCTTACCTCTCCGCCTGCTTGTCTTCCCTCTCTTGTATCTAATCTACAGATTGTAATTTTTGAGGTATTTTAATGAAGCACTGACATGTTTTAACCCAAAGATAAACGCTATTGAAAATAGGACGAGCCGTGAGACTTTTTCATCTGCTCTTCACGTAGGGCGTTATTTTGAAAGGCCATTACACGTATAATTATATTAAACGAAGTGATGTTTTTACTCGTTGACATATGCTAATAATATAATAAAAATATATAGTAATATAATATATGAGATATGCTTGTTTAGACCATCAACATCTCTATTTGATTTGATTTCGCCAAACGATTGCAAGAAGATAAGTCCACTGAGATATTTATTTTTTTTACACCTTTCAGACAAAAGAGCAACATTTCCAAACACATCGAAAATAACAATAATTGGAGTTTTTACTATTGTTACCTTTGGTTCATCGATTCTTTTCCACCTCGTTTAGAGAGAGCTTTTTATTTTCATAAAATTTCATGATAAGTTCAAGTAGAAAAACCATTATTGCTATAGCAATGCCCAAAACCCATATCAAAAGTATTCCAGCAAAATTGGACATACTTAACTTAATTGGCCCCATATCGTCTATATTCGAGTACATCATAGATTCAATTTGTTTCTGCTTCTTCAAATCCATAGTATTAGCTACAATCCGCAATTCCCAATAGATATCCAGACCAGCCGAATGCCAATTATAGATTAGCTGATCGAAGCGATCTAGCATAGGCCAGAGACGTTTCGTAAATGCAACCGTGTATTGAAAATATAAATCTTCTTTCATTATTCTTAAATTTTCAATACTTTTTGAACTTAAATAATCCCCAATCGCATAATGACCTAAAAATTAAATATTTTATGAATTAATTTTTGAAAATCTTATAAACAATTTGGCGAAAAAAATTTTCCTACCAAACGGTAATCGTTCCAAAGTAAAACCCATATCCAAACGATTTTGTGACATTTCAGCTATTTGTTCATCGTTGTAAAGATGGAAATTTTTCATTATCGCCATTGTAAGTTCCTGATAAGGCCGAATACTAGTTAAAAGAGCTCTCAGGTAATGATTAAATAAAATTTACGTCATCAGCATTACGTATACCGTAAACCCATCCAAGTGAGTTAGCCGTCCATTTTAAATTGTGCGAACGTAAACGTTCTACGGTATCAGCTGCTTCTTCATAACTTTATATTTATATGTAGGTGAATGCAACCATGTGATAAGGTAACATATACGAATTTAGGGTTTTTCGAAAAACATACCTCGGTATAGTCAAAATGCTGGCCAGTCCACCACCGTATATACTCGTTATAATGATATCATTTAAAAAGTATGTAAACAATAAGCCTCGTAAAGTTATAGATTGCACACATTCAATTCCCGCTTGAGAAACGAATAATTTCAAGGTAGTCGAGTAACCGAATTGAAAGTTTTGATACCAACTGCGGGATCGCCCAACTACGGTATTTTCAAATTTGTACATAAATATTAAAGCTAGCATTTCTAGTATCAAGTAGATAATAATAGCCAGCCAGAGATTGTATTGAAATGGTTCCAGCGGTAGTAACCAGCTGGCCAAACGCCTAAAATTTTTTCACTTATTAATAATTCAATAAGCTGTACTACAAGATATTACTACGGACGTTACCTTGGTGCCGGTGTTAATAGAGTTATTCCCGACCGTACCAAATACATTGACATATCTAGGAAAATGTAATCAATGTCCCTTGAATTTATATTCAAATCTTGATTACAAAAATATATTTAGAGATATTAAGTGATTAGTTACCAAGAATACATTGCTCCTACGGAAATGTCAGCTGCACCTTTAATTACCATACCCAAGCTACCTTCGCCAGATATATTGGGATACACTTCGCCCCAGTCATCAGCTTCGGCTGACCATAAAAGAGAACCAACCAAAATAAAACAATAGGCAAACAGACATGATATCATATATGTGCCCATAGTTATGAAAGTGGTCTAAGTCAAAATTAAAAAAAAAAAGTGAATTTATCAATTATTTCGCAACATTTTATTTGAGATTAAATTAATTCAATGTAATTTTTACGATATCGTTAAATATGAACCATTACATAGTCGTTGTAATTTCAACATTATATGGAATTCATTTAGTGTCCATTGTGAAAGTGATCAAAGTCAAAAATTTAAAGAAATTATATGAATGGCGCGTGGCCCTCTTTAACAATAAGAAGACAAATGACAATCACTCAATAACAGAAACGACAATACATATGCAGTGTACCTATCCATTTAGTTCTATTTTGAAAGAACATGAGTTCAGTTGCTCTCTATAATAATATTGGACCGATAGACTACAAATGCTTGGTATCTCGTCATTCCTTTATACCCAATGACCGCGATTTTGGTTGATAGAAATGAAAATAAAATATCAAATTACATCTATGACCCTGAGCGTTATTATGAATTGATAGAAAAGTGTAGGAGAAGAAATGCATTTTCGGTAAAACGAATGCCGAATGTCGACGACATCACTGGAAGGGCCAACGGCAAGAAGAGTAAAAAATACGAAGGACGAATCTGCTTCTTGACTGCAAATTCAATGCATGTGGTTCTTGAAAAGTGGACCTTATAAGATGCTCTATAACATTCCTTTAGATGACTCTATACTCCTGGTTTTGGATATTTCACTTAAAAGAGGAAGACCAAAACTATACGAAAATATTAAATTATTCCATTATATGCCGCCACTAGATAAGTAACGGAAGAAAAACATAAAGATATTGTAGGTTTGTTGCCATACATCCTCCCCGGGTTTTCAGCAGCATTTTAAGAACCTTAAAACTTCGTTATGCGAAAAGCCTAAAATTGTAAAAATTTACTATATTTTAAAAATAATTAATAAATAGTCATGAATTATTTCTAATAAAACTTATAGCTTTTCATTGCTTCAAACTATTTATAGTAAATTCAGTTCATTGTGAAAATGGTCTAAGCCAATTCAAACTTTAAAAACAACATTTTTGTATGAAATCTACACAAAATTTCATATTCATAATAAGCTTCCATTAATCAAGACTAATAAAATACTAAATTAAAATATCGCATAATGTAAAAATATTTTTTGTTTTATTTAAATGCAATTCGTTAAATGTGTCGAAGGAAGAAATACATGACTTAGACCACATTTATAATTATGGGCACATTTGATGCGGGCCTGATATCATATATGATAAGTTAGGTAATAATATACATGATGAAAGAACTTAAAAAGAAAGTTTTGAAAGTTACAAGACAAAACCCATACTACACCTTTCCCATTGCAAAAATAAGAGCTGACCAAATAGGGTTGTCATATCATTCATTAGACTCATCACTACGAGATCACATTTTTGATTAGAAAACAATGTTGCTGATTGTCGGTCAACTTCTTGTTGATCAAATAAATGTTTAAAAGGGACTATGGTAAATGCCTTATTCTGATCTTTCGAAAACTCTTATCATTTTATAAGTAATTATGGGTATGTTGATGAGTAGTATTTGGATGCTTCACTTGCCAAATCGATTGACTCCATTTTTCGAATTTTCTTCAATTTTAATATTTTATTATATCTCTAATAATATTATTATTAGATAAATTCGTTTTGAATATGTAATAAGACTAAAAATGGATTTAATCGATTTGGTAACTGAAGCATCCATTTATGAGTAGATTTGTTTAGCGATTAATTGATGGAAATGGTTAAATCTACTCAGAATTTTAAGTTGATCAAGAAGTTGATCAACAGGGCTCCCACCTAGCCAAATAGATAAGAAATGGGAGATGAAATATAGGGAAAACCCGAGATGAGATTCTTTACAATCATGCAAAATCCGATTACCAGAGTTCGCGGGTTCAAATCTCAAGTGCGGCAGAGTTTTATTTGGTTGCACCCATAGTGAATGCTTAGCCAGTAGTAAAGGTATGCCATTCACCGATTAGACATGCACCCTCTAAGCTGCGTCCGCCCTATTTCTTTTTTCTCTTCCATATCTCTTCGAACATCTGAATGCGATGCGTATAAGAGGTATTCCCTAAATGATTGCTTCGTCTCTCATGCATATTTTTAGGTCCCGCCATTCCAGTCGGATGTGTACAAACTTTCCTATTGTCAGATGTCCTTACAACTAAAAAATAGGCATAGAATCAATTTGAAAACCGAAACTCACTGCTATCAACCAACACTCTGCAGTTGTATAATTCACAAAATGTTAAGATCGTTCTAATCTCGGTACCATCAATTAGCACAGCACCACTTGAGTTGGAACCAAAAGCCAAATCATAGGAATTATTCTCATCACTAACGTACTTTACAGATGAATAGGGCAAATAATCAAAACCAGTTACCACAATTTCTCGTCCTTGTAGGTTTTTAATCTTGTCCGGAAATAAATTGTTTTTGTAAATAAACTTTCCGGATGAAGCATTAAAAGTATCCAGCTCATAAAACGATGCGGAAGCTTTACTTTGCAAACCTTGAAACTTGTTGGTCTTTAAATAAAATATTTGCAAATCAATGCGAGATTGCTCAACCAACAATACACCAGATTGTTCTGCAATGTAAAGCAAATAACAAAAATAAAGAGAAGTTAATTTGATATAAGAAAAAAAAAAAACACTGTTGCTTACCCCTAAAAAATTTATGTTTGCATAAATTTTCATTTTGTATACCGAATACAAAACGATTTCTCTTTGAGCGCCATACAGAATAAATACTGGCGTTTAGAAAAGCCTCGACAAAAGGCAATATATCGTTTTCGAAAGCTATGAAGCTCTAGAAGTAAAATTTAATTAATTATCAAATATATGAGACTACTTAAGCAATTTTCTTTATTTTCAATAGTTTACCTCGCAATGTGATTTTTTGATCGACATAGTTAACTTTTCGGTTAATGCATTGAACTTTAAATCGTTTTCTGAAAATTGTTGTCTTTGTTCTGAAAAGTTTACGATATCTTCGTCAAATGTTAATTCCAGACTTTTTAAACCGATATTTATTATGGCGTAATTGTTTATATGGGATATATTCAGTTGAAATTCGACTTTGGGATTCCATATGAGGCATATGGTCGTCTCATGCAGATATAATTGAACTGTAGAAATAAATTTTGTACGAATCATAAACGAAACTATACATAACCTGTCAAATTATCTCTGGCCACCCGTCTTATAGTCTCAAGCGACTAAAACTAATTGTCAACCGCTTTATTCGTTGTGTCCATAATGCGGGACACTTTCGTTCATGCTTTTTGAAGTTTTCTTTTTACAACTAATTAAAATCCATCAATAAAAATTGTTCAGTCGCAAGCGCTGAATCTTTCAATGAAACGATTACAGTTTTCTAGCACATATATCGAATTCTTTGGCTGAACACTTACTTATTATCCGGTTGGCTAAATAGTGGGATATGTTGCCACTGACTCTGAATTCGTCCGATACCGGCAATTGATGTTTACAAAGGTTAGCGATAGAACAAGGTGATTATTTGATCAGTTTCTTCCAAGAACATAATTTTTACTTATGCAACAATATATTTTGGTCTATGGCTTTATACTTGCGAATCTAAATATATAAACAAAAAAAATATGAACAAACTCAGCTGTGCCTCTCTATTCACAATTCTTCATTTAAGCGAGTGTTATAAGTGCAAGGGACTCTAATTGTAGTCCCCCCGAAAAAGTTTGTAACTCTATCGCATGTATTTTCAATCTGCTTTTTGTTTTCAAAACCGTGTGAACCGAAAAGCATTCTGCCCGCATGCTTCTCCTTTTCATTTTTTTTTTTTTTCTGGTTTTTTTTTAATACGATCTATCACCCAGGGGAAGTCCTCTCATCGTGTAACACGGTGACTGTCAGAGAGAAGAGATGAAATAGAAGGAAACAGAGAGATGGAGGCCTCAGCCTAGTGGATATGTGCCAAATCGATATGTATTATGCTTTTACTGAGTAAGCACTCACACTATAGGTACGACCAAAAAAGGTGTTCCCATACTTGACGTTTGAAAATACGAACTCTGACTTGGTAGTCGGACTTTGCATGATGGTAAAGAACTTGGTCTCACCTTTTTCCTATTATTTACGTCAACACTTCTAGGACAATTAAGCTCAACAAGCCCCTACAAAAGAATGGACCGATGTTTTCTTTTACTTTGTTTAGCTTCTAACTCATTCCACTTTTTTTTTTTTATAATAAATATATGTATGGATGTCCATACAAATGGCATTTATTATGCGTACTTCGCAGCTCCATGATTGTTCATAGAGCGTATTTATCGCGTAAATCAAATAATGAATATGTTTGAGTTACGACGTACTTATTGAATTTATTACATTTGACCAGAGTAACATGTTTCTAATGATTTGCTAGAATTTAAAAAAGCGCAAAACACGTCGATTCAATTCTCAAACTCAAATACTTTTAATGCCAAGCGAGTAGTGCTAGATATACTTTCATGAAAGTAACTTTTTAAAAACTTTTTTACAAAGTCTTTACAGAAAATTATTTTATTATATAATTATCTTTAAATAATGTTTATCTTGCAATTTTCTTTATATTATTTTGTCCTTTTTGGCCAAGAAATGAAGAAATTTTTATTAACCATTTCATTGAGTTTTTTCATAATTTTTAAAAGTTTTTATAACAATGTCATTGCATAAGAAAAGTACTTTTAACTAAGTAGGTAAGCAATGCTATTCCTAATTGGAAAAGTAAAGACCGACAAAAAGAAGAAAAAACTCAAATAATTGAGTCGTTGTAATCACTTCTTTACACAAAAGTAAAACATTTATATTTCCTTTACTTAATGTATTATGTTTTTCCATATAGCAAATATATACTGACATACATGTTTGCGCATTCATTATAATAGATCAAGGAAAAAGTTCGTGGCGATTTTCACTAAAGTTCCTATCGATCAATTCTGAACGCTTTGACGCAATTATGCGTTCCAATTGCATTAGAGAATGAGATCAACCGTCTGACCAAGTTGGAGCAGGTGATTATGCAATCCAACCCCAACAAACAATCCATTCATCCATTGCCATCCTGTCCACACTTTCGTCGGCCTTGTGCTGCTGGAGTCTTTCTGGTACACTATTGTCCTATACGACCCAGCTTTCATGGACCCCCACCAATTTCTTCAAATATAACTTGATTTCGTTTCCTTTTAGCGATGATTCGCAGATGAAAAATCGATTCCCTAAATGTTCTACTGTTAATTCATAGGGTATCTAAATACCGAGTTCCTAATGAAAACTATTCAAAACTGCTTTTTAATCAAGACTAAGATCTTTTTAGCAACGTCATAAGTTGATATATGTTAGTATTCCCTTCTTGTCAACGATTGATTGACCAGCAAAGCGTTAGCGTACTGCTGCTTTTAATAAAGAGTCTTCTCCATGAATTCCGCAACTTTTTTCCACATACACACTCAATTAGTGCCGTTGACCTCTGGTCATGTTTTTTCTGTTCAACTGAAAAGTCATAGCATGATAGATTATAGTTTTTAACTTAAGCACAAATTCTCTTAAAATTGACTCGGATGACTCTTACAACCATTCTTCGTATAACGCTATACTTTAAATGATCGTTGGGGTGAAAAAACTATATTTTAAAAGAGTGAACGAATGAGCAAAAATGTGGACGTCATGAAGTCATTTTTTGAGCCCCCCGATCTCCAATAAAAACATTCTTACCAAAAATAAACCTTTATATGAGAGCGAGCTCTAATTTTTAATAAGTTACGAAATTTTCAAACTTGGATTATAAAGACAAAAGGTATTCAAAGTTCGGGCGATGCACGTCTATATTGTTCTAATTTGTTCTTTGCGTTATAGGGCCGATATACCAGCAAACATTTAATTATACCGCGTCTGCAAAGTAGTTTCCGGCTACCTCGAGTAAAGCGCAACTTATGTGCTCACCAAGGTGTCTTCCGATAATAATAAATTCATACAAATTCATAAATTTGCCACCCAAACACTTAATAAAGAGATAAAGATATATTTTGTAAACATTTATAATTTATAGTGACTTAAGCTTCTGCCTGCTCCACCGCTGGTCAGGTTTGGGTTTTCACCCTCGTTCCGATTAATTTATCGAAATTTCCCCCTTTTTGCTGAATTAGTTGAAAAGAAAATAATTAAAAACAAGTTAGAAAATCATTTTGGGCTGAGGTCGAATATTGCATACACTCCGTCATTAACGTCTCTATCTCTGACCTTTTAGTTTACTAAAATATAAATGGCATATGTAAACAAATTAAACCACCACGTCGTGACGACCACCATAATTAATTTAGAATTAACATACTTAGCTTATCGCATTTTACTTTCCAAGTCCTTTTATGTGATACCCATATATGGTACCCTTTTATGCGATGCACTAAACGTAGAATATTTCAGCTTTCTGTCTTTCATAGGTTGTAAGTAATCAGCAAAAATCGGCAAATTATTGCTTGGAGGAACCGAGTTGGGATCAGTTTACAGTTTATTGCGGACATATGTTCTAACCAATTTGGCCCAAGTTTCTACTAAATTTGAAGTCTCGCAGACGGACATACATGGCTTAATCGCATTAGCATTTCATGTCGATCAAGAATATATATACTTTATAGGATCTCTGAAGCTTTTTTTTGGGTGTTGCAAACGTTATGACAAAATCATTGTATATCCCCATCTTTTGGGGGTGTGTGAGAAAAAAGAAAATATTTTTCATTTATTTCATGGATTTAAAAAAGTTATCGGATAACTAAGATCATGTGCTTGCTTGTTTTGAGATTTGAACCTGCGACCTATGAGTTGCTAATCGCGACTCGCGAGTATTAAAGAAAGCAGTGGACTTGTAAGCCCAGCCATATAACGAAAACATTGTTATCTTGTAATTTAGCATTGAATAATATCTCCTGTAAAGCTATTGTAAGTAGCGTAACGTGCATTGTGTGATTGAACATTTATTTGCGAAAAACATTGTTTAATGCGTGGAAAATGTATTGTACACAAAATTTTTGAAAAAAGGTTGCACTTTTTCCCCACTGTCACCATATCCTATTCTTCAAACTTCAAAGTCAACTCAAACATCAATCTTGAGTTTTGAACGACACACTGCAACAGATACTAATGAACGTTTGATAAGCAACTGTGGAATATGTCGAAGTAGACGTATGCGTTAATGTTTGATATATAGAAAATGATGAGGAGTGTTTGAGTTTCACCTTTTCGAGAGTTAGCGACGATATAAATGCTAAGGTCGGAATTAATAGAGCTTGTACTCTAAATAAAGTAGCGAGCACCACGTTTATAAGATTACAAATGACTATCAGCGGCATGGTTAGCTGAATAGATAAAAAATGCGACTAACAAACTAGTGTTCGCGGGTTCAAATTTCAGTACGCAGCAGAGCATACTTTCACGTATCTGTAGTAAATACTCGGTCGCTGAAGGCGTAACACTCACCGAATAGGCACTTACGTACTAGACTGTGACAAATCCCTCATTTCTTTGTCACTATTATCACCTATAGGGAACATCTGTTCCCATTAAAAAAAAAACTAACAACATATATAAACAAATCCACAATAAGTTTGGAGTAGATTTTAATGAATATTTGAAATAATAAAAGAATTTTTCTACTTAAAAATAAAAGCATATGTACACGCATATATGTATACGTTTCACAATACAAGATTTATATAAAACTTAAGAGTTATATTCAAAAAATCGTTTTCCGACAAGCCCTTGTTTTAATGAACTGGAACGCGGAAAATACATTTTTCCCCAGAGGCATATTATATAAAATCTTAAGGCACTTACGATTTAAACGTGTAAGGAATTCGATTTTTTTAAACGCCCCAACCTTTTTTTTGTATAACGCCTTTAGTTACAAGCGAAGGCTTGCGAATTTAATTATGTAAGGCAAGCGAATGAGAAAAGAAAAGCGGGAATGAATAAGCGCTAACGGTTTCATCAATGATGAGAAACCTACGTCATCTTTCTTATACCCACCACTGTAAGTTGGGGTTACACACATTTTGTTTTTTTCCATTAAGTATATAACACCCAAAAATAAGCTTCAGAGACCCTATAAAGTGTGTTC